CGGCTGACACCCCTATGCCTGCCCCTAGAGCTTTCAGTTTCAAGGGCGCCGGTTGCGCGTGTAGGCGGCTCGGTGTGGCCTAAGATTAGTTTTTAACGTTTTCGTTTTATTATGACGGTGGTTGATAAGTCGCTAGGGTGGGAAGCTTTTGTTCTTAGTGCATTGATGTGTAATTATTTTTTTTTGACCTTATTAAAAGCACTGAACGCTGTCTTCGCACTTGATACTCTTGTTGGATCTGACAGGCCCTGTTTGTAGGTTACCGATACCCGAGACTACTTATAAATAGTCTTCTGTTAGCACGATTTTAATATCCCAAAGCTTTATAAAAGGCGGGATTATTAGATCATTTTTAATCCATTCCAGTCGTGTTGAGTTAAATTTACTGTTCAAACTGTCCTAATTCTGCATATTATGTTTGCATAAAAATTCGTACCACCTTTAGCGAGTTGTTCAAAAGCTAGCCCGTTCTCAGTTGAAATATGTCAGGGAACTTTTTTTTACAGTCACTACATAGTGTATGAGCAATACGCGAATAAAGGCAGGCCGAAAATAATTTCGTCCTGTGTATAATGAAAAGCGGGTGCGGCGAGTGACTGCAATTTTTAGGGTTCTGTACCCAAAGGGTAAAATGGGACCCTATTACTAAGACTTCGCTGTTTGTCTGTCTGTCTGTCCGTCCGTCTGTCACCAGGCTGTTTCTCATGAACCATGATAGGTAGGCAGTTGAAATTTTCGCTGATGATACATTTCTTTTGCCGCTATAACAACAAATAACTAAAAAACAAAATACAAAATATATTTAAGTGGGTCTCCCATACAAAAGATATGATTTTTTGATGTTTTTATACATAATAGTACAGAACCCTACGTGCGCGAGTATAACTCGCACTTGGCCGGTTTTTTCTCATTAGGAAACTCCTCCCTCCGTCCAGCGCGCGGTAACGTTCCGCCCCGTCCAAAACGAAAACGTGGTCTTCTCAACTTTTGCTTACGACGTTTAGCGAAAGGATAAATTAAATTAAAAACTTCATTTGTCTGCATATTTGTGTTACGAGCTTATGTTGAGTAACTTGCTTAGTATATTTTTATGGTAGACTAGCGACCCGCCCCGGCTTCGCACGGGTGCAATGTGGGGCAGTGTCGAGTGATTAATAATATTCATCTTCTATGCGTGTCGATTACAAATTATATGATGACAGTCGATGTTAATTGGCGACTATAATATTATGAATAGTATTTACTACGGGATATGTTATTATACAATATTGACGTATATTACTATATAAAAAGAGATATCTTATATAATCCTTTCTCTTGGATAACTCTATCCATTGTTGAAAACTGCATTAAACTCCGTTGTGTAGTTTAAAAGATCTAAGCGTACAAACAGTGCGACCAACTTTTTTTATACTATGTGAAGAAGGTGATAATCGAATAGGCGGTTCATCTGATATCAATTAATGGCCGTTAACCATTGGGCATTCACCATGAGTTGGTACTCACTAATCAGACAAAGCGCTGAGGCAAAAATGTTTTCTGCTTTAAGATGGTAGCTTGCGAGGCCATTTTCCTCGGACTAGCCGGCATAGGAAGTGAGCGAAATTTTAAACTGGAATTTTGATTACCGCATCCTATTAGCTTGCACAACTGAGGCTTTGCCTTACGTAAAGTGCTTTATGGCAGTTTCTTTTTTTTTATTTGATAAATAAGTTACTCACTAAGGAAACTTGGTCCGTGCCTTTTTTAAATTGTGTTGAAATTATTATACAATACAATATTTATGTCTTAAAATTACAACGTATGCCTTAACAACAACATATGCCATAACTACGTGTTACAGCTACGGCTGTGAGTTTTTTTTTCTCTAAAACTTACGGCTACATGCTAGTTAAATTACAGTTAATTATTTTAACTTACTTTTCAAAGTTCGCAAGCAAAGCGAGTTTTTACAGAGTGTTTATAGAGTGCCCGTCGTACCTCAGTAGGCTGTCCGTCACCGCCCGTCCCTTATACTTTATGCCAGTTGTATGCTATAGCAGAATTTACGCTGGGGCTCGATCACAAACGAGAACGACGTTGCTGCTGTATATTTCGAAAATGATAAAGAAAAAGAAGAAACGTTTATTCACGGTACAAGCACAACGGATACATACAAAACTGTAAAATTTAACTACACAATATACAAAACTAGCTGCTGCCCTTGACTACGTCTGCGTAGAACAGGCTGAAGAAGTAATTTTCAGGCAGAAAGACAGATATACGTCTTATTCTGATGTATAAGCTATATTATTGAAAAGTTTAATTAAAATCCATTGAGTAGTATTTGCGTGAAAGAGTAACAAACATCCATCCATACATACAAACTTTCGCGTTTATAATATTAGTAAGGATAATATTGGAAAAAACTTAAAATAAATGTAAACATAACAACAAAAAGAAACAAAATAATATTAATAATTGAAGGTCTGTGTAGCAGCATAAGACCGTGAAACGGACGGGACTCGGTGAAAGCCGAGATACAGTAACTAAAGTTAGTTCTGATCCCGAAACCGGTTTTCAGTCCGGCCCGCACTTCGAGGCAACTCGGACTGCAGTTGCAATAAATACCTACAGCTCAGAATAGCAATTAAATTATTTTTGTTTGAACCTTTCATTTATATAGACAGTGGATATCGGTTACATTATTTAGTCGAATGGATACATTTATTATTATTTTTTTTTATGTGAAAAGTTGCCAAGCGAGCAAACGGTTCACCTGATGTTAAGTGAATACTGCCGCCCATGGACATCTGCTATACCCGAGGGTTACAGATGCGTTTGAAAATTGGGCTTTGGCCACCTCACTCACCAGACGAAACGTAAAAGTATTATAGGTACTTCCACTTTACGCCGGTCTTCTGTGAGGTCGTGGTACTTACCCGGACGGGCCTGCCCATTCGTGCAACAGCCGAGGCTGCTGCGTTGCCCTACCACCGTAAAAACACTTTTTCTATATATTTTAATTCATAACGGTATATGAGATTAAAATATGTTAGAAAAAGACGTTAAGATTTTTGTCGGTGTGGCAATTAGCCGTTTAGCTTAGTGATTAAAGTGTCAGGCCGCGAATTCCGAAGACCTGGGTTCGATTCCCACAGCGGCGACAATCTTTTCGTACTTTTTCCACATATTTTAATGTTCAATCTTAAGGGCAGAGATTAGCACTATAAAAAAAAATTATTTCTGGTATATGAAATGTGTGTGAAACAAGCTAATTGTTTTTAGCTCCACGTCAAAATCTTCGAACAGCGTGTTCGTAAATCTTAATTGCATTCAATTATTCATTGCTGGTCTTATGTCCATTACGAAATTTCGGTTTACGTAATCCGCGATCCGTTCGACCGATGAAATACTCCCATAAATCCCTTCGTATTCGAATTAATAAGTCGCTCGGGTGAAACAATTAGCCGATCAGTTTGACCATCCGCGGATTTGCATTTATAGTGCGCCCTCGGAAATATTTGGCGCTTAGTTGGGGTCCGCGCGGATTATGTCGTCGACGTTTTGAGCGATAGATTTAAACAGGCTTTGTACCGTTGTGATCGAAACTAAAATATATGTCTATACATTTATTATGAACAGGCGATGTTTGTTTGTTTATTTGTGTGGAAAAGATGACAGTTGACTACGAATAATAACGTATAAATATTTCAACAACATTCCAATACTTTTAATGTGTTGTTATGTTCTTTGTTTTTAAAAACTTTCCCTGGCTTAGAATGAGATATTACTGTGTTGGTTCTATAAAAAACACGTTGTGCAAAAACAAACAATATCAAGTACAGATTCCGAGATCCGGAACAATTCCTCAGTGGGTCATGCTAATAATTGTCCCGTGTGGGAATCTAACTCAGGACCCACGACGCCGGAGCCAATGTTTCGGAAATCGCGGCACAGAGTTATCAACATACTAATAATATGAATGTATTTCCAAACACCCATGACAAACGAGGAGGTCGCCCCAGCCTCCATCGGCTCTTAAAGTTGTAAATGTGTTTATAGCATTATGCAAAACGTCCGCATCGTTAATAAGCTTTATGGCGTAAACATTTGCCCAATAGCATTATGACTGAACATTATACATAGAGATAAGCGTGAGTAATTGCCGCAGTTATTGGCTCCATTTTGTACAAATTTGTCCATTGTATGGCTGAGCGCTAAGTGGCTCTAAAATTTTGGTATCTATATTTTATGTATCATGATCTAAAAAAAATGACGTCGTCTAGAAATATGCAAAATGCTCTGATTCTGCTTAGTTGTTTTTCTCAGCGTTATGTTCTACTGTCGTTTATAGTTTTTTTAGAATTAATCGTTAATAGGATTAGTTTTAGAATTAGTATTTATTTAAGCATGTGCGCTTGGTTAAATAAATACTTAAGATTACTTACACATTGCATGCTACCATGATATCTTTGTGGAGGTTTAGAATAACCGTGGAGATTAGCTTCTCACTTTTCACTTTTGCCATTGCGCTTTGAGTTGTCGTTTCAATCCGCACTCAGGTCAATTTCTTTCTCTGAATTTGTAAAAAGAGTAAAATCAGACACTCGACTATCATAAATACACTTAACGCTTATTATTCCATTTGAATCAATGCATTATTATATAGCTACTTAAACATTTAACACAAATCCCGCTTTATAGACGGAGACTTAACTCTCCTTAACTATCAGAGTTGAACGTGCGAGGACTTGTATGTTGGCGTAAACTTAGTAAACAAATCTTCAACCGTGCACACACGGGCTGTACTGTTTAGTGGACCGAGAGAAGCGATATTGGCGAAATGTGTTTTCGTAAAGGTCGCATTTCACTTCGGCAACGCTAAGCTGGTCGGCGATTCGAGTGTAGGCGACGAGCTTGTCACGCCCGAGCCGGCGCCGTGTCTATACTGCTACTCGCAGTTTGCTCACGGATTTCCAGATTTGTTGATGAAGTTGAATGTCCCTCGGCCGACGCTATGGGCATTGTTTGTGAATTAGCCGGGCGGTGTGTTTAGGCTTTCGCGGTACGATGGACTGCTGACGCTCTCTCGAATGTTCCGACGTCGACACGCCGACGGGTTTTGTTTGCTCTATCATTGGGTCGTGACCGGTGTCTTGAGTGTGTACCGGCCACTGTTGGCCGTTTGCGTATCTAAGCTCGACATCGAAATCGCCTACGTGTCAAACTGTGTCGTCGTGTGCCCATATTTTGTCTATCCATATGAAGTACGGCTGTTTTACGTAAATGACGATAAATCGTATTAAAATCGTAAAAGATTTTTGATAAATAACAGTTGCGATGGATTACACTGATGTTGGACCGATAAATTTATTTTTATGAAAGATAATATTACTCATTGTTAAAGGAAAATGTTTTTGCGCCACTTAACGTTTCTTCGTATGCCTGAAAGAATATGGATCTTTCATATTAATAAGCGGAAACGGATCTATAATACACCGTTATCATATCACAGAACAATATGCCAATACCAGGAAAACAATAACTCTTGAAAAATTCGGTTTGATTTATTTTTATAGAACATTTTTATTGCTTTTTTTTTAGTAAATATTTGATTTTAAATCATATAAAAATTTAATACAAGTTATGAGTATACATGGTAATAAATTTAATTAATTAACAAAGGTTGTTACATTCTTGTTGATGTAAGCGTAATTACTTATTCTATTACTGGGTATGTTGAAATTACTTTTTTCACAACGGTAATGATAGTACGTTACAGCGAGAAGCCTAATGTACGCGAAACATCACATTATCCTAAAAAAACATACCCCCGGGACAGAGCTTCTTATGTAAATTCTTGTATGTTGCCCATTGAAAAGAGGAAACAACGCGGAATATTCGTGTTTTTATTTACGATGGGCCCATTATTAGTATCCCTCCGACGTTATATATTTTTTATGTATCAACCAAGGATCCGTCGTATATACAATTCCAACGTGACCATCGTATTTTGTAACCAAAAAAAATTAAAGGAAAATAAACCGTCCAAGTTGCGAAGCGCACCGCGTTTTGCGGTGATCACGGCACACGGAGACCATTACGCAAAGTCGGTGTATTCGACCCGCCGCTTGCAGAGCAGACGCGTTCCGAGAATGATTTACGCGTCGCAGCGCGAGGCGCAGTAAATATTTGGCGGACTCGTCGCCCCGGAGTGGACGTGACGTAGGCGAGACGTCGGCGTGACACGTCACGGCGCGACGGGACAGCGCGCCGTCCCTGGCGGCGACGTGCCCCCACATAAATCGCGTAGCACTCTATCCACTCGAACAAACGCCAGCGGGTACCCTTTCCCCGATTTTGCGGGACTAGGGATTTTTTTAGCATCAGAGGCATTTACGAAAAATACAATTAGACAGGAACGGCGACTTGTGTATAAATACGTGGGTTTGAATTTCGGGAAGCGAGAAATCCATTACGATTTGTGACTTAACCTAATTATGTGTAATTTATGTATACAAACATAAGCATCAGTTGATTACGCTTTCGCTTGTAGGAAATAAAGTTTTATCGTCACCACAGGGCTCGCTCAAGGACAGATTTTTGGGAGCTATCTTGAAATAATTCGGTTTTGTGACTAACATGCTTGTGACGCTTGAATATCACGACTGTACTTTTTCCGCACAAGAGTTATATTGCAATTTAATTCTGGCAGGATCTTCGTCAATCAAATTGGGAGTATTCATTTTATATCGCCCATAAATAGAGTAACTAGGGTGATGATTAGGGTGACAATGATTATTTTAGGAATTTCTGCCCTTCTCATGAAAATTGGGGATTGGTTAAATATTTTTAGTTATGGACAATTATTTTCTTTGTCAGCCAATCGTCTCTCACTTTGTGTGAATATGTGCAATAAATATTAAGATTAAAAATCATCCTTGGGAAAGCAAACCTACTCCAAACTATTGCTTGATAATAGTTCAAAGTATTGCTATATACTCAATACGTTTACCACACTCACTCCATAAATTCGACTTCTCGCTGGTCTTCTGTGAGGTCATGTTACCTCCCTGGACGGACAAGAGATATTTCGTGGAATGTTTCGTGGCCCGACTATAGTTAGAAGAAACAAATACACAGTTTAGTAACAGAATTAATTGAATAATGTCCCGCCACAAACGTGGCGACACCATCGCTTAGTCGAAATTGAATTATACGGCGGTTCGGATTTTATATCTGCCGGGGACGACGCGCATCGGTCTCTCGGGCCCAGGATCTCGAACGCGATAACTTTCTCATTTCCTTTACAAACGTTGGCCGCGCGCATAAATCGCCCTCCCCGCATTGTTTCGAATGCTAACGATTGGTTCTCGTACGCGATGTGATTTCGTGAAATTTCGCTCAATCCATTGTCGAATTGTAAACGCTAAGAGCTGTCTGATGGTAAGCTTCTATATCTTAAATGGTCATCGATTAAGTCTTTTTCAGTCCACTACTGAACACAGACTGCCACGATGTTTGATGCTGAGAGTCTTGACTTCCCACATGCTTGGACATGTCCTCGCTCCATCTAGTTGGAGGTTGACCTATATGGCGGGGGCAAGAACGAGGCTGGGTATCCATAAACATTATTTTTGTTATTTTAATCCTTAGGAAAATTTTAATCTATAGAAAATGTCGTCATTGCCTTTCATGGATATGTTTGCACCACCTCAACCAGCATACGTGCAAAAGGACAAGAAATCAAGTCTATGAACCCGTTTAAAAAAGAGATAAAAAATATAGCCTCCATTTTTCGTTTTTCTATCATTGCCAATTAAAACATACGTCACAAAGGAGGTACCTGCTTTAGCTAAGTTTATGTACGATACCGTCCACCTCCGTATTAACAAAATCACGTACAGCCACGAGCTCTACAATAATGTACAGAACAGTATCGGTTCGTATTCGAAAACGTCTAACCGATGTTATTTGTATTCATAAAGTTCGGAATAATGCGCACTTGCACGTATCGTATTAAACTGTTCAGATGGCATTATTTAGAGACGTCATAAATTTCGGCCTTTGCGGCGGACTCATCGTCCCCGCGTTCAATATTCCCTCGAAACTCGCGCGACGGAGTTCGAAACTCGCGGAACGGAGTTCGAAACTCGCGGAACGGAGTTCGAAACTCGCGGAACGGAGTTCGAAACTCGCGGAACGGAGCTCGAAACTCGCGGAACGGAGTTCGAAACTCGTGGAACGGAGCTCGAAACTCGCGGAACGGAGTGCGTAGGTCGCGGGGCGAGTGCTCTCGCGGTTCCCACGAAAACGGTAACTGTGCGTTGTTTCTCTCCGCTCCTGGCATTCCCAGTTTATATGTTTAATAGCTGTTCGCTGAATAACATTAGGCACGGCCGTCAGTGTTTGGTCCGCGGCCATTTATCGTGCGTTCTGGCGGCGATAAATCGCGCCTCGTGAAATTGTATCAGTTTCGCGTCAGTTTGTTCTGAACGCGACTGTACTTTGTGTGTTTAATTTAGTTTCCGTTGTTGAACATGTATCAACACGGTTGTTCGATGTTGCTGTGATTGTTTAAATAATGTGTTTTTTTTTTATAAGGAAAGACGGTGTTCGTGCAGGAGGTTTTCTTGATGCTAAGGCGTTATCATCGACTATGGACGTTTATAACTTGTGGGATCGCAGTTGCAGAGTTGTTTAAGTCTTTGTATATGTACAAATATATATATTATATACACATATGTATACACATACATATGTATACACATACATATATATACACATACATATGTACACTTTATATACACATGGAAAAGATAATAAGAAAGTTTTTTTATAGGAAGCCATTCTTGACAAAACCTTTTATACATGATATTTTTATTAGTATTAAGACATGCTCTTGTTCTCGTAAGCAAATAGGGGGAAGGAGGCCTTCTCTTCGGATCCTGCGTTATACGTTTCAAATGAATATTTGTCTTAGACGCTTGCGAAAGTTTGGTCATTGTATCGCCCGACGGTCGGTCACAGAGGGACGGTGGGTTGTCAAATATGTAGGTATATGTTTAAATTGATTTTATGTGAGTTGGGTGTATCATGGATTTCGTTAACTCTTCATTGTCGCTTTAAAAATAAAACATACAAACAACAACATGTATTTTTTTATGATATATCTGCTCTCAGCTTAATAATATAGCTAAAATAGTGTTACAGATGTAAAATTGGATTTGAAATATTTAAATTGGAATTTTTGAACGTGTATGTAGCACAATATCGTATACAAATTTACCTTGCTGCAACTCTCACTCCAAATAAACTTAACTATGCACAATCTTACTCTCCTCAGTGCGCGCATTATAAAGGTCTACCTAATTTCTCTTCACCATTTGTTCGCATAGAAATTATTTGTATATTATCTCATATGTGGTGGAAATGAAAACTTTGTCGTCTCGGGTAAAACGTGTACCTACTTGTGTAACCTACTCTGTCTTTTCAGACTTGCCAGCGTCGAGGAACGTTTGGAATAGAAATGTTTTCAATTTATCCAACGAAAAGAATTACTCGGGTTGTTTTTTCTGCCGACGCGTTATTTCCCCGTTGCATGCCGCCATGCAATCGAATACGCCGTAATGGCTTTTACAGGTCTCTGCCGTGCGATGTCTGTATAAAGGTCTCATCGAATTTTTACCCCGTGGGCGGGTAATGTGTTTAGTAATTTCAAACAACAATACTGTCCGGCCGATGGCGTACGCCGTTTTTATCGTTTGTACATGTCGCTTCTCGGAGCTTAATTTGGGGGATATTTCCGGGATTGGAATTGGTAGAAAATAAAGCAATCGCGAAAAATAATGTAAGGTTTGACTTAATTCTTGGCTATGATATTAGGAATCCTTGTCGTGGGTTGGGCGGAAGTGAGGCATACCTGGATTTTTCCGACTTAGACAAAATTACTTAAGTAAGCGCCTTAGTTCTACAGATTTCGTGTCCTTAATATTAGTAAGTAAATATTACAATTTTATATTTTTTTAAATTAATCGATAATAATTTGACGTTATGTAAGTATTATTCTTGTAAACTTAATAAAAGAAGAAAGTAGAACTCTACGACTCCATGATTAATTGTTTGCAAGGAATTAAATCGAAATCTTGGAATTTAGGTTTAAAACCAAGAGTAAAGAGCAAAAGCTCTCCCCATTATTATTCGCATATTTATTCATTTCGTATGTAATTTATAAAATACTAATGAACGAATAATTGATGATGACAATCGTCTTGACGCATTAAGACGATTGCAAGTTCTTATATAAAATCGATTATTATTTTAAAACGAACCGGTGATATTTGAGGGCGTCACTACTTTCAAACTGTCTCGAACTGTCAAAAACAAAATAAACAAATGGACAGAGTATAAGAATGGCGAAAGGTAAATCGAGGCAGAGACCTAAGTAAAGGACTTAATTGTGTGATTAGATAGAGGGCTAATTGTTATATTCTAAGTGCTTTCCTCGAAAATTACTCCACTCGACTCGACCTCAAACATACGAAACGGTATTTTATAAGACGTTAAAATTTCCACGAGTCGAGGTATTTCCTCACTTTACTTGAGTAATAAATTGACAACTCGAGATACGTTTTGAACTCCCTTAGAACTTCATAGAGATTGTTTTAATATTTAATACACAGTAAATTGAAATGAAAGATATGTTATAATCGTGAAAATTTTGTTGATTATGTTGTGAAACATACAATTTTCCTGCGAGGCAGTATTTAATAGATGCAGAGACCTCATTACGAAACGGTGGCAGATTTAAAAACATATAAAAATATGAATAAAAATATAATATCGACAGATGAAATGTAGGTTTCTTATGTCGATGAATAAATGAAGATGAATGATGAAGTGTTCTTTAAAACTATCCTCGTCATATAATCGTATAATGGTGTCGTTAGGCGACTTTCGTAATAAATCGTAACGCTCGCTGGAAATCTGCGAACTCGTTGGAGCCGTTAGCAGTTACGGTTACAAAGTGGCGGTTAAATATTTTCGAGAGCTCCGCTCTGGTAATAGTGTTGTGAATTTTAACTACGCTTTACGCCCGACGCGCGGGGCTCTACAGATCCCAAAAGATTTGCTAGGGACGGAAGTTAGATTAATGTGTTTATTGTAGCTGGTTAGCGATTTCTAGTTAGCCCAACGCTACAGAAAGGTGTTGGTACCATGTGTGAATGCTTGTAATGTATTATTTTTTACATTATTGGTTGTTTATTTAAGATGCGTCGATATTAAAAATCGTACAATAAGAGGTCTGTATATTGACCAAAAATCGTTCAAATCCAAGAAGTTTAACGTAGCTGAACAATTAATATTCGAAATTATATCAGATTTAATTTACAGTAATGTAGTGAGATTTCAATATGTTAAACCTATGGCGGGCTTTTCGTTTATTCATTATTGAACGTCCTAATAAATTAATACTAACGCTGGTGAGGATATATAGATGATTTTGACCTTGCAGGTTTTGCAAAGACCCTTGCGCACTATAACACAGCTTTGTTAGGATTCCATACCCAAAAGGTAAAACGGGAATCTATTACTAAGGCTCCGCTGTCGGTCTCCCTGCCCGTCTATCACCAGGCTGCGTCTCATGAACCGTGATAGTTAGACAGTTGAAATTTTCATAGATTATGTATTTCTGTTGCCGTTATTACAACATAATGTGCCGTTATAACAATTTAAAATGGGGCTCCCATACAACAGATATGATTATTTTTGCCGTTTTTATAGATATTTGAATGGAACCCTTTGTGCGCGAGTCTGACGCACACTTGGCCGGTTTTTCTTATCTCTTTGTTTCTAAAAATAGACTCTTATAATTTTCATAGACACTTTATAATTTAGGCTCTTATAAACTACCGATAAAATAAATAATTGTGAGGATTCTATCACGTTCAATTTGTTGTTAAATTTGTGTACTATAACATGAAAACATAAAACACTTCAACCTGTCGAGTGTCCGTGGATACTGTAGGTCGAAAATTAGAAAAACTAAGTAAACGGTTTAGTAACATAAATTGCATCTTTACATCAAAAAAATAAGGAGAGCTATTATTTTGTCCGCTTGTTAGTTATGTCCATATTTTGACATTGACTCTGCGACACAAAGAGGTTTGAACGTGCCAAATTTTTCGTCGACGCGTGAAACGTCGGTACCCATATTGTCTCCAAGCTGCACTGCCCAAGATGCACACGATTGGGGGAGGGCAAGGGGGGCGGGGGTCGTCTAAAGGAGGATGGGTTGGGGGATGGCTGTTTGTAAAGTTTTCCATTACATTAGCGCGCCGTCCCAGCGACCAGAACAAACGGCCGTCGGATATCGTGGCCTCGTCGCCACGGCAACGTGTGTAACTCTGGATAAACGTCGGGCGGGGTCCCGCGATTTACTGCGATGCGAAACGATGGGTGCTTTGTTTAGCGCGCCTCACTTGTTCTCAACTGAGCACCGAGCGGCGTGTTCACGGCGTTGCGTCGAAGCACACTCGGCGCCGTTTCTTCTGGAAACAAATTGACACGCGCTACCTCTCGATAGATGTGGGATCTTAACGTTTGATATAATATACGCAACAGTATTGTCAGTTGCACGAATGTCCGGGGAATTATCGCCGACTTAACGGAAGACCGACGTGAAGTGGAAGCTGTTTACTTTTGTGTTTCCTCTGGTGATAATCGGGGCCCCACTTCATTCTACGCATACGCAACCCTACGGGTGTATAATATCCATGGGCGGCGTTATCACTTAAAATTTTCAGTGTCTTCATGATCGTTTGGAGTTTGAGCCGTTCTAAATGCGAAAAGTTAAACGGTTGCCGTGAAGAGTTTCCCTCCACAATGTTTTTTTCGGTCTCATGCGACCCCCCCACCAGATTGCGTGACGACCTGTGCAGTTGTGCGGGAAGTCGATGGATGCAGGACTCACGATCATACTTCGCGATGGTCTGTAAGGGAGCCTTTAAGGGAGCCGTTAAGCAATGGACTCAAATATGCTGAAATGATGATGATGTATTTTTAGCGCTTTTCAGATTTTACGCCATCTCTGTTTACCGTAGCGTCTATTCCGATTTTATACCGCACGGGGGTGACGTGAGCGTATAAATTATTATTCATAGCCGCATAAACATTTGTCCGGATCGAGGTAAGCGAAGCCGGCAGCGTTGCGGGGGATAACCAGCGAAGCTCTGTTCGAGGCTCCGTTCTATTCATCGTCTACGGAAGTAAAGTATGCGCCGCGGAGAACGCTCTAGAATCAATTGAGGCTTGATAAATGGCCACAGAGGCAGTGGTTTTGATACATCAATTGCAATCACTCTTCTAATAGTTCTGCTCCGGGAATAACAATATACATATATTAAAAATTGTAAGGTATCTAGAAGAGATATATATATATTTCGGGGACATATTCACACAACGTTATCTAGTCCTAAAAGCTTGTACGATGGGTACTAGGTAGCTAAGAAACATACTTAAATGTAATTTTATTTTGTAAATAAATGCACATTATCGATTTATAATCCAATCAATTGACATATTCTATTATTCTAATTCAGAACTAAAAAAAAACTACTTAGTAATGAATCGTCCGAGTAATATTTTTAATGTTTTTATATGTTTATGTTACCTTTTTATATTAGTTATTATATTTTATAGTTTCTATATTAGTTTCTTGTACAGCACGTATGTATTTACTATTCGTGAATGATGTGTACGCCTTTTATTGATGTGTTTATATGTTAATTTACTTATTTGTACCTTTTATTAACCTTTTATTGTACCTTGAACATGTTTTTGGTGTACTTTTTATAAATAAAATAAAATAAAAATAAAATAAACACCCAGGCTAGTTCACACTCTCTGGCAGACAGGATCACTATCCACTAGGCCATTTTAACTGCAAGAAGTAAGCTATAATTTATTGAAATAAAAGTTATTTTCAAATGGAAATTTCTATTTTTGGGTCAAGTCTTATGACGTATTTGACAGTATAATGGCTTTCTTGGCACGGTTGCTTTATTATTATCGGCTTCCGTGTCGCCGTTTTCGGATCTTGGATGTCTGCGCATTTTATACCTTTAAAACTTCCATACACGATAATTTCCTCTACAACGAGGGAAATATATATATATAAAAAAATATTACAATAGACAGACTACAAAGATAATGTAACTTATATTTTTTCGCCGTTCCAAGCCGTCTCAGAGTCAGCCACGTTATTACGCAGTGTAAGAAACGGGTATACGCTACGGCGTTATCTTGAACGGAACCCAACAAAGGAAACGCGTAAAACACACTCCAAAGTTGCCGTATAAAAATGATCGCGAAGTCCCCGAGCATTTTATTATAACAATCTATTCGCGGCTCGGACCCGCGGCGCACTCAAAGCAAACACTTTAAAAGAATCGGAAGTTTCCTTGTTTATCTCCCGGTTTTATTGTTATACCTGCCCGAGAGCGGCCCGCTCGAGTATTAAGCAAACATGTCGTATGTGTTCCCGGTTCAATCTCACTTCGGAACAGCGGGTCGTAGTTCGCGCTTCGCGTCGTAAAAGTTCTCCCTTTCGCGTTATCGGATCGGGGACTTTTGATCGGTGAAATATTGCGTTCCCTTTAGCAGCTAGTTGTAACGGTGTCAGGAGTTATCGGGTCCTCGGCCAACGTTTCGCCCGCTTCGGTTTTTTGCTGCCCCACTCTGTCTGTAGCACTTAGATTTCTAAATTCGTCGACATAACTCTTAGCGAATTCAGAATTCATTTGTTGTGGATTCTTTGTTTTCTCTTTAACGAGTTTCCGTTTATCGAGTGTTAAAATATTGAGTTATAATATAATTATCATAGGAGCTTTCCACTTTACAGGATGGCGTAAACTTTGTTGTTTCGTATGGTAACGTTTCTAAAAGCTTTCTCCTCGGATTTGTAAATCATAAAAGAGGCGGTGGTTTGCATAACAGTTATTGTTTGGATAGTGGACCTATTGGACCTACCCACATGCAAACACATCAAGTCGATGAGTCATCATATACCGGCGACGGCAGAGACAGCAGCGACGTTCACAACGATCCACCGTCGCGCTCACCCATATGTCAGTTGATGACAACGACATTGCAAAATGATACAGGTGACATTACGGATCAACTGACGTTAGAAAAGTCAATGTCAAGATTGTCAAGGCGTCCTAATAATATTAATAACAACAGTGCTGTACAGAGTTCCGAGTTGGATTTAATGATGCGGCCGGAGAAATTAATATCTGAAATAGTGAAGGAGATACAGGATCCAAAGCATTGCAATAAAGATACTGGTAATGAAGAATGGAAAGTTGTTCAGAAAAAACGGTACAGAAACCGGTTTGTGAGTATGCAAGGCAAAGCTTGTTCGAATTCCGAGGAGAAGTTTAGAGCTGCGGTTGTAAAGATACCGTTATTTATTAACTACGTAGATATAAATACAAAGGAGGAAGATATTATTGAATATATAAAAGTGAAATCTGAAATAACTGTGAACCTCAAAAAAATAAATACAAAGGAGCAAAGACAGTATAATGCATATATTGTATATGTGCCGAAAAATAAATTATCCGTGTTCCTGGACGACAGTATGTGGCCTGAAGGTGTGACTTTCAGAAGATTTATGAAGAATTATGGTAATTCAAAGAATAATGATAAATAAATATGGATATAGATAACTCTAGAGTAAAATTTATAACCTTCAACTGCAAATCTTTGGCAAGTTCTATTGAGGACATAAGATTACTGTGTCAGTCTGCAGACCTTTAGCACTACAAGAAACATGCCTACTTCCGGATGATATCGCTTCACTTGGTCAAATCGATCAAAATTTTGGTTACTAACACTATATGGGTTCTTAAGCCTGAAATAAAAGATTTTTTTTTTTTTTTTTTTTTTTTTTTTTTTTTTTTTTTTTTTTTTTTTTGATATGCTTGTTATACTCTTACTCTATTTTCCTTTACTTAAATAAATCACAGTTAAATTAATGTTTAGTCATCACTGCCGTTCAAGGAACCATCACGAAGGTATGTAACTTCTACTTCCCTCTGATCTTTGGTGAGGCCGTGGTACTTACCCGGACTAGCCCGCCCATTCGTGCATCAGTCGAAGATGCTGCGTGTCTCCACCACAGTTATTCTATCTAATTCCTATGTAAGACCTCCACAGTATTTTAAAATGGATCATGGTGATTCCACACAGTAAAATGTTTAAAAAAGGAAACGAAGGAACATTTGGTGTTCGATTACAAAGCGTCGAATTAAGTTCAATTCGAACCTCTACGTTCACACTCGACTCGTCTATCCTACGTATTTAAACTGATGAATATCTGAAAATTGCTCACCTCCCACGTGACGGCTCCAATATATCATCCGTTGGCGACGTACCACCGCCCGCCGGAGCGTTTAATTCAAATCCAACGTCGAATGCAGACACGTCTGATTGCTCATGCTTATTCATTGCACCGGCGACGTTCGCTTTGATCTGCTGGTGGCGCTTCTTCTCGACGCCACTCGACCGTGTCACTCTTTCTGGAACGTTCCTGTATAATATCCCTTTAGACGTTCGAAAGGCGACGTGTTCCGGAAAGCTTTGTTGTGCGGCACATTGTATACTTACTTATACGCGTCCAACTGTGCTGATGAAAACCCCTCTGTGAACTAATAGCGATGAGAAATCGTCTGTGAATTTCGTCGATTTAAAATTTATCACGAATAGTTAAACAGCAGTAATTTACGGATTGTGTTGTGTTTTAAATGTAAGCTCCCGTTTTTTCGATCTTCTGATAATATATTTGGTTGATTACGAAAATTTGATTGCGTTTGACACATTTATTACGTATAAGGACAGGCAGCTTATAAGGTGATTTACTTCTTTTATTTGCGAATACGTCTTAAGTTAGATTTAACAGGGACATAGGTTTTTACTTTAAATTAGTAAATTTATCTGACTGATGACTCAGAGGCGCAGTCGCTAAGCTGCGCCGGCTTGGACACCGAGGGTCGTGGGTTCAATTCTCGCACGGATAGTTTTTCCGGGTCTGTGTGTTAAGAAGGGTGACGTCAGGCAGCCGGCCGATGGTAAAAACCTAATCAAAACTACTTACAACATGATTCATATATTGTCCATCCCAGTTATTTGAGGATGGTGGTAATTAATTCTTTTGTTCTATGTTGCTTTGCATTTTGACGTTGACTGAATTTTATCGTAGGTACGTCTTAGCGAATTGACGTTTCATGTTGTTGAATTTTTTACTGTCGACATTTTCTCATGAATGAATTAAGCTTTTGTATTAAAACTAGAGCCACGTAGATTGAATTCTATACTAAAACAATTGAGGTGTTTCTTCTTTTTTAAACTCTATCAATGAAACAACTCGGCTTGTTCCCTATACACGTCGTGTCTACAATATTCATATTTCAAACACGTTGAAACATTATAAATAATATTATATTAATATTTCCATGGAACCGGCTCCCGCATAGAAAAGGAAAAAAATAAAGATGTAATGCAAAAAGGAAATAACCTAAGCGCCCGTTGCGACAAAATATTCAAAAGTACATTATCATTTGAAAGGGTCCCTTTAGCGGAATGTTTTCGGCTGTCGGCGATATTTGAATGCCAACATAAAACACGAATAGGAATTGGCAACGTAAAATATAGACACGATGTCGGTTGTGAGGTGATCGATTATTAACACCATAATTCTCGTCGGGTTGTAGCGGAGAGCAATATTTCTCTAAATACCCTCTCGAAACATTTTTGTGTCATTTCTCAATATTCCATGTCTATCGTTTAATAATGACGTTCGATTGCGAACAATATCGGTTCTTTCAAATTATCCTCTAAATATTTTTTTTTGGAAAATTAGGTTTTCATAAGACACTTTCATTTAGTACATTTTTAAAATAATATTTTCTATAGTTTCAGTACAAAAAGGGACGAAAAAATTTTTGCCACTGCGGGAATCAAATCCGGTTTCGTCCCCGACGCTTAACCACTTAGCTAACCGGATGTTTTTCACACTGGATAAAGTCTCAAAACTATATATATAATCTATATTGATCTTTTCACATTTTAAGCAATGCTTGCCGCATCTATTGCTATGTCCTATACAGCACACAAACAATTTCAAATATCGTTTTACAACGCTTATTCGAACAAGAGATATCACCATTGCTATTTGAAATTTTAATTTTTATACTACTAATCTCTGCACTTTACCATTTTTCCTACAAATTTAATATTTCATATTAAGTGCACAGATTAGCACAATAAAAATTTAAAATATTACGGTTTCGATTTAAATTACAAGTGTACTATTATAGTTGCGTGGCCCTACCACGGTATATTCCACATTATTGTTTATTCCTCATTGATGGTGATCAGGGAGGCACTGAGTAAAAATATTCTTCTTCATATAAAGAAGAATGTTCCTACTTTGCTACGGACTCATAATCCTTAGCAAAATATTGAACTATATTCAATTCAGTATATATAAATATTGAACTATATTCAATGTAGTTATGAAAGGTAACATAACAAGTAGATGTTAAATTATTCATTTCCAGCGAATCGACCGGTACGCGTGGACGTAAAATTAAATTGTTGCACAATATCCAATAAGAAAGTTAAAAATAAATTACGGTATGAAAAGGGTGATATTAATCTCGCAGTCAAAAGTTATTTTACATAATTTATCGGATTATTCCCCCGCTCGTCGACCGCGTTTCACACCAATCGACGAGATGAGACGTCTCGTCTGCGAAAGGATTTAGAACGGTCATATCTCACTTTTACTCCGTATCTCGTTTCATTTGTCTAAGTAAATAGATGTCGCTGCGATGAATCAAGTGGAAATGAGATGGAAATGATTCAGAAGTCACCGACCGCTTTCTTTCACTGCACGAAACGCATGAAGAATTTAAAAAAAACCGGTCAAGTGCGAGACAGAGAGACAGCAGAGTCTCAGTAATAGGGTCCCGTTTTAGCCTCTGGGTACGGAACCCTAAAACAAATAAAAATTATTTTCTCTCTAAAATAAAAATTATTCAATAAAAAAAATGACAAAACTGGTGGGAACTTGCGGCGTAGGGCGTCGTAGCACTTCGTAACTGAGACGTAGCACAACGGGCCAGTGTCAACCGCACGCCGCGCCTTACCGCGTGTCTGAGCATAATAAGCTATCTTAATAATTCCCTTTGTTTCAATGCTCCGGCCCAGGCGTACAATTGCGGTAAATTAGTTTTTATTAAGAAAGCGATAAGACAACGTTTCGCGTCTTCATTTATTTTATAAGAAGAATAATTTTTCTAATTATCAGTAAAAATGTATGTATGCGACAGACGTAATGTATCAGATTTGAAATGGTGATCAACACGAGGAATGTTTATAGGATTTACTTCTAAACATTTCTATTGTATACTATTCAAAACAAAAACGACTCATATATGTCCAGCAGTACCAGTCCATGCTGTAGTCCGACAAAGGCCTGTCCCTCGATACATGTACGTACGTTAGCTATGCATCATTATTTTTTTATATATTTTCCGCTGTTTACTTCATATTATACATATTTACTTCGTATCTTTGTTAGATATCAAACAATAGGGCTTACCGCGCTGAGCGATATTAACTGCTTATTGTAATATTAGCGAGCGAAGCCGCGGGCACGGGCCGTGCGCAATAATTAATCCTCTTAATACTAGGCGATGTTTGCCCCGTCGGCGTTTGTTTGCGCCAGGCCTGTTTGCTCCAAACCAACTGTACTTACTCTTGTGGCTTACGGAATCGACGGCCAGTTGAAATGGCCCATCGTTTAGTTGAAGCCACGGCGTGGGCGGGGCCAGCGTTGTTTGGGCGCGACGCAAGCGCGTCCGCACTCGTGTTCTACGGACGATGTTTTATTCATGCCGCGACGCCGAACTGCCGCGAATAACTGACTAATTATTGAGGTGTTCGCCGGGGAGATTCGGCCGTCCCGAGGGGATTGTATAGGCAACGATTGGCCTAGTGATGCGCCGTTTGCGGTAAATGTATCGATGGGTCCGTTGTTGCCCTTCGCTACTTATAAGCTTAGTGAGTCGTGATTACACTTATCTATCGCTCCATATGTGTATATGTGATAGGATTAGAGACGTGAGATTGTATAGTTTGTTTTATATATCGATAAGTTTTGTTATTAGTTTTAACTGAAGCTTTCGTGCAATTTAACAAAAACCGACCTCGACTCAAGATGATGCGTTTTGTTTTAAACTATCGATTCTGCTTAAAATTCTTCCTAGTGATGAAGAGATAAATTTAAGTAACTATTATAATATTTTTTTAGATTACCTGTTTCACACAGTTATTTCAATTTAACAGATAATTAGAAATAACACTTTTATAATATATTATACTAGTGACCCACCCACGGGTGCAATGCTGAATGTATGTTTTCGACATCGCATTAGAAACCTCTAAAATTATCAGTGTTTGTTACTATATTATGCATGAATTATAAATATAAACCTTCTTCTTGAATCACTCTATCTATTAAAGAAAACCGCATCAAAATCCGTTTCGTAGTTTTAAAGATCTAAGCATATATAGGAACAGACAGACAGCGGGACGACTTTGTTTTATACTATGTAGTGAAAACAAAATGTTTACAAAAGTCGAATCACATTATTATTTCTTGCAAGTATGGAAGAATGGTATATTTCTTGTGTGTTTCTTTGTTAGTTACAATATGTCCCCAGAACTAGAGTACAAACTTATATATCGTATATTTCATTATAAATTTTACATTTATTTAAAGTACATCAATTATGTCATATTTCAATTTCATTACGAGTTACTTACTTACTACCAGTACTAGTTACTTAATATTAGTACTGTTATTTATGATGTTTAAATCAATGATCTTCTTAATTTACAAGTTTTAGATAAATATTATGATAATATCCGTTGGGACACTTTGCCAAAATATTCGTTTTGAGAGTTTGAGTTTTTGTGATTTTACCAAGCGCGATTTTATTAGAGAAGAACTGTTGCACGATTGGTCAGGCATTTTGAGAATCGTTTGGGGAAGTACTAAGGAATCACGGAAGACCAGCGTCAAATGAAAGTATAAATATATTTTCGTCTGGTGTTGAGGTAGCCGGGGTAAATTTTTGTATCGCATCTACATCTCCGAAGATGCGATACCAAATATTGGTATCGCATCTTCGGAAGGAGATGAAGAGATCGCATAAAACTTGCTTTCATAGAATAATAAATTGGATGTATCTTGATTTAAATTACTTGCTTGGAGAATAGTGCTTATGTCTATAATGTGAGTTATGTATGTGTTTTCTCTAAGACGTTGTGCAAGCTACGCTAAGTTTACTATAAGCTTTTGTTTGTATACTCAGAGGTTAATAATGTATACTCACACGGCGGGCACGAAGATAGTATTTCTAATTAATACTCAAGATTTTATTTTATCTATAGTCTTAGCTATGCCTAAGGAAAGTAGCGAGTTATTCCCAATAAAAGTTTCTATGTTAATTTACTGGGAAAACTCCGCAATAAATTGTATCAAAGATTATAGAAATAAGTGATTTTATTTAACAACATACAGAGAATATTTGTTTATTAGAATAATTATTCTCTCCTATATGTTCGAGTAGTTGAAAATTAAATCTTGTTTTTGATTACATTCCTTAAATGAATTCCGTGTCGTAACCTTTAATTGATAAAATATTTTTCGATAAATGGTTACGCTTTAATCGATATTTCGCAACGAACAGCACTAGGCGGTGGCATTTTGCTCGTCAAGTTAATAAAGCTCCAAGCGCCTCTTTAAATAAGCCTTCTTCTGTCTTTCTATTAGTCCGAGACGTCCTCGGGTTTTGTTGAATTAATTACATTAATGTTTAAGCTTTTCGACGGCCGGGGGAAGACCTCAACAATGACACCTTTGTTCGGAGATGCGCTTTTAAATTGTGCTTTTGATTCTGTGATTATATTTATATTGTCTTGTTTGAGGTTGGCGATGAAATGTTTTAAGTTATATCTAAGTGAATAAATGGTCTTTTTTATGTGAAAAGTTGCCAAGCGAGACGGTTCACCTGGTGTTAAGTGAATACCGCCGCCCATGGACATCTGCTACACCCGAGGGTTCCAGATGCGTTGACGACCTTTTGAAAATTGGGGTCCGGTCACCTTACTCACCCGAAGAATCAAGAAAGTATTATATTTCCACTTTACGCCGGTCTTCTGTGAGGTCCGTGGTACTTACCCGGACACTGCGGCCTGCCCATCCGTGCAACAGCCGAGGCTGTTGTGTGGCCCTACCACCGTGAACCGTCTTGCCCTTGTTTTGTAATGCAAACGACTATAATATTATCCTGTGTTGTAATGACGTTTTACAAACTTAAATTTCACGCAGACAAACACAGATGCGAAACAACTATCTGTGGGTCACACAAATAGTTGTCCCGTGTGGTAATCGAACCCACGACCCCTGACGCCATAGTCAATACCTTGGTAACTGCGCCACGGAGTCATCGAAGGTATATGTCATGTGTAGTCTCGACGTTCTATTTTTTTACCTTTTTTTTCTTTGGACGTTCCTCTATTCTAATATCGTAGACTATGATAGAGATAGAGTGGTCCGCGTCCATTATACACGAGACATTGTCTTCAATTGTGATAAACTTTGTCTAAATTTTTCTCTCTCTATGCTCTCTTAATCTTCTAGTTGACGTTTTAATGCACTTTTTTATAGATATTAAATGAAACTACTTTACAGATTATATCGAGATTGAATTTTGATTTTAAAATTCCCGATGTTCGAGTTCTTTCCAGAGCTCATGCTCTTTGTTATTTTAGTACAAACAGTATTTTTCCTGCTCGGCCATTTTTTCGGGAAGGTCTGTTATTGGCTTTCTATCAGTATCCTTTTCCCTTGTACTACATTATCGTACGAGTTTTCTCTTCTATTGCATGTTTTCTTTAAGCTATTACGTTATTGTCCCACTACCAAGCGTGACGCATAATTGCAAAAAAACTATAAGATTTATGTGTACATATCGAGTCTTGAACGTATTTTTTTATAAGCTGCCAAGTGATTGATTGATATTGATAAACTGTTACCTACGTTGCATTTATGTCCATATAATGAATGTCAAGGCAAAGTGAAAAGCTGTAACTTTCTTTAAATTACTTTTTCTAATTTTCGTCGGCGTGGCGACTAGCCGCTTAGCTTAGTGCCTAAAGTGTCTAGGCGCGAATCCGGAAGACGTGCGGTCGATTCCCTCTGCGGCGAAAAACTTTTCGTAAATTTTTTCTACAAATTTTAATATTTATTTGTTTTACGCTTAATACCACAATAGGAGCACTGAAACTTTATTTCACTAAAATCATAATAAATTCCGCGGTTTCGTTGAAGCACTCGAATAAATTATTTAATCAAAGTGGCAAATTTGCATCACGCCGAAACGCATTTTAAATGCGAAGTCATAAATTGATTTGATTTCGTTTAAACGCATAATATCAGCGCAAACGATCTGTGAATAAACAGCTTGCGTAAATGAAAAAAAAAAATGTATCGGTGAACTTATTTACGCACGTAATAAGTTATATTTCTTTAGCGTAAGAAAATCTCCCGTGCCAGTTCTCTTTGGTTTAATTAAGTAACTTGGGAAATGTGTTAAAATCAAAATGTTGTTATTGGTACATGTTAATATCGTGAAATTTGAAAAGCTCTTAGCTTTGATAAAAAAACTAACCTAATGATCAAGGATTAACGTGTATAAACGTAAACTAAGATTTAACATTAATTTATCTCTAGCTGATTGGTTAGGTTAGTTACGTGTACTTTTTATTACACCAAGGAGCTCCTCACTGACGTAACTTATTAAACATTTGCGCGGAAAACGAGTTTCGAACTCAGGTACGCTGAATTTAAAACGATAGCCCGATCACTGAGTTCTCACGGCTCATTTTAATAGCAATATACTATTCGCCTATTGTATATTCTCATGCTGTATTGCCGTAAATTCAGAATCCACCAAAACCGATTTATATTCAGCGCACCATCGTTCCTCGATAAACTTATCGATAGATTTTATATTTGCCTGCGTCGTCTATTGTTTATGTCTAGCGAGGCACACTCGAGTTGCGACATTATGCAGCGCCCTACCCACTTGAATATTTATACGGGAATGCGTGTCGTTCTTTGCATAAAATCCACATAATTTCCTCTCCTGTAGTGCTACGGACCAAAGGTCGTTTTCGTGTGTAAAAGTTTTGATGTTATAAATTACGAGATTGCACACGGACGTTAGGGGTGCACGATAATGCATGCGATACATGATACTCGAGATAACGTGTTTTTATATTTCGCAACGTATTTGTGCGGAATAGAGGTTATTTTTGCTTGCATTACGTTGCGGTAATTCTCATTAAGACGATGCACCTCAAAGGTGAGAGGCCTTTGAACGACGCTTTATTCTTTAAGCGGCGTCGTGTTGATACGGCCATAACTGTATATCTCGTTGGCGATCTAATTTTGTTACGCGAGCTATGCTAAACGTCTTTTCTCGCGTTTTCGCATGAGCTCCGTTCGTCGAATGTTGGGGGGCTTATAAATTCGCATCGCGTATTGTTATTCTCAGCTACGACGGTGGGCGCTGGTTTATTGCGTTGCACAATTTACAAGCTACTCTTTGCTCAGATTGCACCGCCTTCTCCCGTTCATATCTCCGGTTCAGAATATTGTAACATTTTCAAGTCTAGTACAAAACTGACATTCTTTAAGGTGTATTTATCTTTGAGGCTCAAAGTCCT